CCAACAGACCTTACGGTGTTACTTTTGACTACGCCGGCGTCGAATGCTGCATTTGCAACCGCCTGCGACACCTCGATCCACGTGTGACGCCCATGTGCGCTGAAAACAACGCCTTGTTTTCCCTTGGGCAGAGACGCGCCTCCCTTTGACAGGATCTCCACGAGTACCAGCTCGTAGAGCTCTGCCAGGTCCTCGATATGAACTAGAGCAAGAGATCAGCGTGAGTTTGTGAAAGAGCTTCGGCGGTAATAGTACCGTTGTCCCACACGCCCTTGCCGTCACCGATAACGATGGCTTCCCCTTCAGAGATCGCCGCTCGGGCCAATCGAGGAACTTGCAGACTACGCTTATTCCACAAGCCCGTTCCCACCTAGACGAGGAGTCAATATCGTGCGGGGCCGCAGTTTGCGGGGAGGCGTCGCTCACCCCGTAGATCAATGGAGACATGAGAACGACAGTCTTCACGCCTGACTCGAGTCCAGCATCTATCATGCCAAGCTCCGTTGTGCGTTGAATGTACTTTTTTACTGTGTTGCGCGACTTCTCATAGGCATAGATGTTGTCCTTCGAGTCGTCGAATTCCAGATCGGGGTTGGATTCAAGGTGAACACCCGAGAGTGGCTGGTCCGCAAGGTTCGAGACACCTGAAGTGTGGACCATCCAAGCATCTCTGCCAGTGGACTTCTGGCGTAACGAAAGACCTTTGATGAAGGCTGCAGCACTGTTGAGATGATAGCCGAGCGTCATGTTGAAGATGACGTCGTACTGACTTGCTATCTCGACAAGGCGGTCAGTATCGTCCAGACCTTCGAAGCCGACAACCTTGACCCTGTCACCAAACGCAGCGTGCAGCTGTGCAACTCTTTCTTGGCCCCGAACGAGACACGTAATATCAGCGTCTTTGATCGCTACATGTTTGCTGCGAAGCAGTTGGTGGAGCACACTGCCCCCGATGTAGCCTGTGACGCCGGCAAGCAGAATCCTTTCCCGAGCCATGATTGGAAGATACGACAACGTGATACAAGTACGAGATATCGGCGATGATGATATATTGACGGTCCGAGGAATGTCTGGGAAACCTGCCTACTTTTGAAGTGATGATTACTAAGAGGGTATCCAGACAACGGCTGGGTCATTGCTACGCACCTCGACATACCTACTCTGCGTGGGCGAAAGACATCATCTTGCCGGGGGCCTAACGCTCCAATGGACGCAGCGGAGTTCTCTCCGGGACTTTGCTTTGCTTCGGTACTGCAATCCCGCCGTTGGAACTTTGTCTTAACAAAGTTTCGATATTCTCCCGATACGGCCCGGTCCATCGGCATGATAACACATCTCGCTGCTGACGCGGCTGAATACAAACTCAACACCATTGGTGACTGTACTATACAACTGTAGCATGGAAGGATCTAGAGTCATGCAGCTAGGGCAAAGTCCTTCATGTAACATACCCAACTTCCCGAACAACGCATATGGCATTCATCGGCCTGATTCAGCATCATGCCTCATGATAGCTGCAGCGGTGCGGGCCGAATACCAAGATCACTGTGGTCAGACTTCCTACATTCCAGTCGCCTGATTGTCGATGTTCCTCATGCGAAGGTGGTATTTGGCGTCGTTTGTGTCGTTAGTATCGCGATGAGAAGAGGTGACTCGTGGTCTGTGGGTTACGATACAAAGAGGATAGACCGGATGTGATTAGAGTATGACACCATGCGCACATAGACCGTGTAGTCAGCAAACACCAAACCCAGATCCGGTGCCCAAAGTCAACACCATTCTCGTGGGGTTTGTCACATGTCAGTGGATGTTACCGTATTACGGCAACTACTCGGATGGTGCAACAAGTGCCGATTGAGATAAGGCGGCGCAAAAAGCCAAGTCCTAAGCACGCAGTAGCCACGGAATATCAGTCAGCTTACTCTGACCGGTCGCCTAGCTAGCGTCGGCCGACTACCGAAGTATCTACAGCTGGACATGACGAGGGTTGAGCGTGTAGTCAAACCCAGAATGAAGCTAGAAACACATGCATTGACGTTACGTGCATAGGGCGAATAGTCCCTGAACTTAATTGACACTGCACTACGCCACTGAGGCTGAGATCCGTCGTATTCAACAGTCCCTAGTCCAGTCGTGGTGCCAACGAAACTTGTGCCCACGATATTTTCGGGCTGAGACTTGTCAGTAGTCTCGTTGAAAGAGTCGGTATATTCACTGAGTCATTTAACCTACTTGCCGGTCGGTTTTCGGTACCAAACTTGTGGGGATCTTGTTTACCCTCCACTGATCAGCCTACGATCTAGCAACTAGTGTATGGCAATCGTCTGGGGACTCCGTATCACTCTAGCCTTGAGGGTCTCCGGGTTGTAACAACGGCGATCCCCAATGTGCGTGAAATTGGCGGGATCGCAGGGGGAGTGACTTCGGGTGAGTGTCATAGCGATTGTTCAATCGACCTGACTATAAGACGCCACTCCCACATTAGGAGCCGTTCATCCAACGCTTCATCTCAAACCTCTTCATCGTATCTACCTTGATTGCTCACAATGAACGTCTCCACTCCAACTTTTCCATGGCATCTCATGCCGACCATGGACTCTCTTCCTTCTGCAGAGCAGTTCTCCACCATCGAGATGCACCCGCGCAATATAGTCGCAAGTCTCTTAGCCATAGTGATCAGCTTTTCTTACCTTCGATCTGTTACAAAAAAGACTGGCCTTGAGCGCTTCCCCGGACCGTGGTATGCGCCCTACACGGCCTTGCATCTGCGATGGCTCTTCGCTCGTGGCACGATCCACGAGTATGTCGAGAAGATGCACAAGCAGTACGGCGATGTCATCCGTTTGGGACCAAGACAGCTCTGGATCTCTGACAAGGGAGCTATGAAGCAGATTCTTCTCACCATTGATCTACCCAAGGTTACCATGTATGCTGAGATCTCAAGAGACAGAAAAAGTCCCGGTCTCTTTGGAGAGATGTAAGTATCAGTATCCCGTGTTTCCTGTGAAGACGACGGTGGCTGACGCCGAAAACCCACAGCCGCCCCGTTCCCCACCGCAACCTCAAGAAGTTCCTCAGCCCAGCTTTCACTGTCTCTTCTGTCGATAAGTTAGACACGTTCTTCAAAGCCTGCACATCGATTTTGCTCAGCAACTACTACACCGAAGTCGACAAGGCCATCGCTCAAGACCCCAAGTCCAACCCCAACGGCGACTTCGAGACTGACCTTATGCGCGACCTGCACTGTCTTGCGTTAGACATCATGGGCGAGTCGTCATTTGGTAAGGGCTTTGGGCAGATTGACAAGATCTTCGATCCCAGCAAGCTATTGTCCGGCAGAGACAAGCGCTGGAGCAAGATTCCCGATGCCATCTTCAACGGCCAGGCGAAGAGGTATGGGTTGGTCTTTGTGAAGAGGTTCCTCCGGCGCATGGGATATGAGTGGGAGGTTGATTGGCCCAAGGAGATGACGTCTGCGATTTGCGAACTCGTCGACGAACGCGCTGCAGCTCAGGGAGGACATGAGAACAAGAAACGTATCGATGTCCTCCAGCACATGTTGGACGAGGGCGCGCGACCAGACACAGGAGAGCGTATGTCCAACCAGGACATAATCGATCAGATGTCTGAGCTCCTCCTCGCTGGATCAGAAACCACGTCTGGTAAGTTAGAACCCGAGGTCCTAGATTGCTTGCTGCTTTCAAGTTTCCCTCTCCAACGCGAACTATAGTCGCTAACGACACCCCCTAGGAACAATGGCATGCCTGTTTGTGGAACTCGCACGAACCCCCGCCGCTCTCGAAAAGCTACTCGCTTCTCTTCCCGTCCTTGGCCCCAATGACCCCATCCTAGACTCGAAGACGGTGCGCACAGACCCACAATATCGATACCTCGAAGCCTGCCTGAAGGAGAACCTGCGCATGAATCCTATTGCCTCGGAACTGGGTCGTCGTACCACAGACCAAGGCCACAACATCAATGGCAACGAGATTCCGCCTTACACGATTGTGTCGGCCAGCTACAGAGCACTTCATCGCGATGAGAGGTACTGGCCTCAGGCGGAGAGGTTCTGGCCGGAGCGCTGGCTGGAAGGAGAGGAAAGAGAGGACGCACCCGAACCTGAGTAAGTCGGCCTGGTGATGAGACGAGAGATTTGATGTGGACATTTTCTGACGTGAGATTGTAGTCTAGATGCTTACTTCCCATTCTCCAACGGCCGACACAACTGTATCGGACAAAAGTATGTTGCCTTGCCCCTCATCTCCTTCTGAAGCGACGCACTAACGTCCATGTCCAGCTTCGCATACGCAGAGATGCGCACAGTCTCGGCCAATCTTCTTTCTCGCTTTGCCCTTGAGGAGGCTGGGTACCAGCAGATCCAACTCCGGCAATTCATCACGATGCAGTTCCACGATGGCAAGTGGAGAGTTGTGCTGAAGCCCCGCTGGAAGGATGCTGCGAAGGCTTGAAGCGCGAGCTTTCGCGACGCTACTGCAGCATGTTTGAGTAGGTGGCATTGAGCGAGAGGCACTCGCATGAAGAACAGACTGGAAGCAAGCAGAAAAGAGAGGCGGCAGCCGGTACAGCGATGAGGGCGAAGCAGGACCATTCTCCAGACTGAGGGCACATTCCTTTACACTTTTGGGTAGTGCGACTAGACATTAGAAGGCACAATTTGATTGATTCCCCCACCAACTCCCGTGCTTCTCTGCTTTCTTCCTGGCACTCTGCCCCTGCCTTGGCTTGCAACATGACATGCGTTTGGACTGAAGCGTGAGGCGAGCCGAGTCAGGCTGCATAAAGACAAGATATGGACCCGGGGTGTGGAAAGAGGCTCGGGCTTTCTCGCAGCGTGCAGCCAAGGCCGAAGTAGCAGCGCATGCCGTCAGCGAGCTCGAGGCAGCCCTACTTTGTAGAGTGCCGGACGCTAGCGCGCCGCCGCATCGGAACGCGTCAGGGCAACTCAGCACGCAACAGCTCTGTCCACGACATGACCCGCCATGTCTGAGCCCCGACGCTCGACGAGGGCGCGCGCTCGCGACGACGCCGCCCCCGCTGCCCCCGAGACGCCCAACGACAAGCCCGCCAAAGCCGCCAAAGCCGCCTTGAAGCGCAAACGGACCAGCCTCGCCGTCAAAGACTCGGCGCCCTCGACGCCCGTTGCTGAGGGCGCGCCGCTGCCCCCACGACAAACACTCCCCCTCCAGCTGGTCGACGGCGCGCCTCTGCCCACACTGCGCGAGCCACAGCCCCTCCATCTTCCCTCGAGCGAGTGGCAGACGATCCAGCAGAGCCGCGTCCTCGAGACGTCCTTCGAGCGCTCCAAGGCCGTCTGGCTGTCTGGCGCCAACTTCCGCACCTTCCATGCCCACTTCAACCAGCCCAAGAAGCTGGCCGACCGGACGGATGAGGACAAGGCCAGGACGGCGAGGCAGAAGGAGCTGCTCAAGAACTTTCCCCCGGTCGGTGCCGATCGGGTGAGCGTGAAGCTCGTCATAGAGCCGCACACATTGCCTATCCGCCTCTATGGCCCGCGCGAGGTGGGCAAGCCAGCCCAGAAAAAGGCTCCCGTGCCATCGCCGTATGCTCCCTGGCCAAATCACAACCAGCCCAATCAACACACCAAATACCAGGGTGGCCAGCCGATACAGCAGAAACCTCATCCACGCCCACCGCAGCCTCTCAAGCCTGTTCAGGCCGCGCCTGCGCCCCAGGCTCCCGCAGCCCCCGCCCCCGATCCCGTCATACACATGCTTGCCGCGAGAGCAGGCACAGATCCCGAGCTGAAGGCTGTCATGAAGATAGTCGCAGCTGGCTCGGCAACTAAGGAACAGCTCGAGTTCTTCCAGACACACATCAACGAATTGACGGCGATCCTGGCGAGGCAGAAGGAGGAGAAAACGCCCAAACCAACTCCGCCAACGCAACCCCCCAAACCCACGCCACCGCCGCCGCCTCCAGCACCGAAGCAAACAGCTCCCCCTCCGCTTCCCCGCCCAGTCCAGCCAGTCCAGCAACCTCTGCAGCCCAGCACGCCCAAGCCGTACAGTCCGGTCCCGCCACATGGACAGATGCAGCAACCCTCGCCGACACAACAGCCATATCCACCCTATGCGAACAACTTTAGCAAACCGCCGCAATACCACCCACCGCCGCAGCTATCCACCTACAATCCACCCCCGAGGACAACATATCGCCCGTTAGTCTTCAGTTTTGTCCATGGCAGCGAAGACAAGTTTTACTTCCCTTCGTATAGTTTCATGGAATGGCTTCCCAATGGCACAGGCGCAAAGCTGTCCTTCCTCATCACCAAGATGAAGCCAAAGCCTGATCCTGTCGTCAAACCACCGTCTACCTCCGTTCAAAAGTCAATCCCGACGCCGATTCCGACTCTCGGTACTGCGACCAGTGCTATGCCTGGCGCACCCCCACCGAATGCCATCATACCGACACCCAGTCCCACAAACCCTGCTTTTGCGTCGATACAACCTACCGCATCAGCCCCCTCAGCAACCTTCGTGCCGCCTAAACCACCCCAGCGGATCGAAGATTTCGACGAGATGAACGAGATAGACAACATTGAATTCTACCAACCGGTCACTGTCCTTCTACTAATCGAGCACGATGAAGGCGACGAAATCGCAAGCGCCTTGCCGCGCTCGATACGACCACCGCATGTCGTGGAGAAATACATGAACGAGGTGTTTGACAAGTGCAAAAGAGCAGAAGAGACGTACCTAGCCTTCAGACTGCCGAGAGACGGTGATGAGTTGCCAGAGAAGAGGATTAGGAGCGGCGACGTGACGCCTGCGGTCGCGACGCCGACTCAGGACGTGGCCATGGGGGGGATCGGTGGGTCTGCCAGTAGTATGGCAGAAAAGAAGAAAGCTGGACGGCCTAAGAGGAGTCTTGTATGAGATCGTTTGAACATGTGCCGATACTGTGGAAACCTTGGAATAGTCTTTGCGGCGTGTACAAGTACAAATGATACCCATTTTTTAGCGTCAAACTACACACATCCTGCTCCTTTATCGTGTGCCATTGATACACCGTTGTGAGATGCATGAGGCGGTATCGTCTGAAGCACCTAATGCTCTTGGTTACACATGAGATCTGGAGTTGCCATCGCTCAACTCCGATGCCAAGATCTTCGCTGCGGCCTGCTTATCCTGGTTAGATCATCCGCAGTTGCCTATCTCCATACTTTCGTGCCTTTCGTGCACTCCATCTTCGCAACGTCACCATAGTCCTTGCTGTTTTACCTGAGTCCAGTGCTACGATCGCGGTGCTCTCTCTGCGTCGACGTTCTCGACAGTATAAAGTATCTAAGCAGCGCAAGAGCACGTCCTGCGACTGAGATCATGCCCGACCTCAAAGCCATCTTTACGAAAGCGTACTGGACATTTGCAATTCTAGGCATTATCTGGGCAGCGTTTGTGGGTCTATTGATCAATCCCACGATACAAAGGCAGTACGTTTTGCTCTCATCATGACAGATGAGATGCTGTTTGGAGTCGATTCTAATGTCTTCTCAGCGCTCTCTATGCCCATAAATTCCACACAGGGTTCTACCACAACGTGACGAATCCCGAAGAATTCGGCTTTGCGAGTAAGTGCATCTGCAACTCTTTCTCGATTTCCCCCATCGCTGTGCTAAGTAGCCATCTGTAGAGGGGCAAGTACAACCCTTTTGGCTTACTACTGCGGATCAAGAAAAGCTCTTTTGCTGGCATGTACTTCCTCTAGATGTTTATCTGGAGAATGAACATGAGCTTTTCACTGCTGCTGTTTCGGGGGAAGTTGCAGAGGAGTTGAAGGGGACGATAGGAGAGAAGCTGTTGAGTAGCGACCCGGAAAGTAGGGTTGTGGTCAACTTTCATGGTGTAAGTTGTGCTTTCTTTCGATTATTGACTCTCTGCTTCGGCATGCCGTCTCGTTCTTTCCAGAGTCTTTGGTATTGCTACATCTCAGGTTCTCATCTTACCCTATATACTTTTTCAGCTCTCCGTGTTTCTCCCCTCATTCTTCTGCAACTTCATCCACCGTTCACTCTTCTTAATATTTCCAGCTTATCCATCACTCATCCTAACCCACCCGAACAGAACGCTGGCCACATAGCTCAAGGCTACCGCCCCTCAACCTACCGCTCCGTCTCTGGCATCCCAAAAACTCACCTCGTAACCTGCGACTACAGGGGCTTCGGTCTCTCTACACTCACCAACTCCCCACATATCCCCACTGAAAGCGGTCTCATAACCGACGCCCTAAGTCTGATCTCCTACATCACCTCTGACCTCTCTCATCCAAGCACCCGCACCGTTCTCCTTGGCCAAAGCCTCGGCACCGCTGTAACAGCCGCCAGCGCCCTCTACTTCACCAATTCCACCTCCGAGCACCTCCCATTGGCCATCACATCCCCATCTTTAACATTCAAACCATCCCGCAACTTTGAAGGTTTCGCCGGCATAGTCCTAGTAGCCCCCTTCACCTCCCTCCCCCAACTCCTCAAAACCTACAAAATCGGTGGCGTACTCCCCGTCCTAAAACCGCTGCAAGGCTACCCCAAGATAGCAAACTATCTCTCCACTCGTATCGTCGACCACTGGCCCACTCTCACCCGCCTACGCGCCCTCATCTCCACCGCCTCAGCCAACAAGTCCGGTTTCCACATTACTCTCCTGCACGCGCGAAACGACCAGGATATCACGTACTGGGAATCCGAAGCCTTGTTCCAGCCACTGGCTACGCATATGTTGACGGAAGAAGGAGTTGTGGCGGAGGAGGAGAGGAGAACGATTCAAGGGGCGAATAGGGTCAAGAGGGGTGCTTTTGCGTACAAGAAGGTCGAGGACGACAAGGGAGATAGGATGGTAGAGTTGGAGGTTGTTAGGTATGGAGGGCATAATGAGGTGGTGGGGTGGACGCAGGTTAGTCTTGCGATTAGGAGAGCGTTTGTGAGGAAGACGATGAGGCCGGGGTTGGATGTTGAGTAGGTCTTTTGGGGAAGGGTAGGTTACATTGGCTTTACCTGGGTTTGTTGAATGGAAGAAGGAAACGGAGATGGAGCTGGATGGAGCTATTGAGGGGATATCATTCGTCGTCATATGGCGGCGTTATATACAACATTACATGTACAATACATCTACACCTTTCTACCCAATCCACAAGAATGCGCCAGACGTCCGTCAATGTAAATAGACTGATGTAAGCCATCAGCCCTCAAATCATCCAGAGATCTCGTTATATCAGTGTCGAGCTTTTCCACGGCCCCTGTCCTGTCCCGATTCCGATCGAGCTTAGGAGGCTGATCTTACGCATTCCTAGCCTGCTGCTCCTTCTCATACTTTGCAACAAGTTCCTTCTGCAGCTGCGGCGGCGCGGGACTGTAATGGCTAAACTCCATGCTAAACTCTCCCTTACCCTGCGTACTAGCTCGCAACTGACTGCTAAAGCCAAACATACTGTTCAAACTGCAATCCGCATAGACAGTAAAGTCCTCCGGGCCAATCTCCGTATCGTTGATAACAGCATTGCGCTTATTCAGCAGACCAACAACAGAACCCTGGAACTCATTCGGCGCCGTGATGGTCGTCTTCATGAGTGGCTCAAGTACCTGAGGCGCACCGGCCTGGAAAGCTTTGCGGAAAGCTTGCTGGGTGGCCATTTTGAAGGCCATTTCCGAGGAATCGACTGCATGGGTAGCTCCGTCGTTAATGATCATGGAAGTACCCAAGACCTTGTGGCCAAGAAGCGGGCCCTTGGCTGTGGAAGCCATGAAACCCTTTTCACAGGCGAAGAGGAACTTCTCGGAAATGGTGCCTCCGGAAATCTGTTGCTCAAACTTGTTCTCACCAGCGGCTTCACTTGGCTCCATCCAGCCGACTACTCGCGCGTAATCTCCCGATCCACCACTCTGCTTCTTGAGCGTGTGGTCGAAGTTGACGCGCTTGGTCATTGTCTCGCGGTAGGCGACTTGTGGTTGTCCGGTTTCGCACTCGACGCGGTATTCGCGGCGCATGCGCTCGACATAGATGTCCAGATGTAGTTCTCCCATACCGGAGATGATAGTCTCTTGCGATTCGGGGTCGGTGTGGACTCGGAATGTAGGGTCTTCGCGCGTGAAGCGGCTCATGGCTTTGCTAAAGTTGGGCGTGTCTTTGGTGTGCTTGGGCTTTATCGATAGGGAGATGACGGGTTCGGGTACGAACATGGAGGTCTAACATGTCAGCTTGAAGGCATGATAGCAATAGTCTTGAAGTCTTACCATGGTGTATCCAAGATTACCGTCAGTGAAGGTATCTCCAGACGCGCAGTCAACACCGAACACGGCGCAAATTTCTCCCGCACCAATTTCAGGGATTTCCTCCATGTCGTTGGAGTGCATGCGCACAATCTTCGGTATCCTGACCTTCTTGTCTGACCTTGCGTTGAATACATTCATTCCCTTTCTAAGCGTACCCTGGTACACACGGATGTATGTCAATTGTCCAAAACTACTCTCTTCCAGCTTGAAAGCCAGACCGACAAATGGCAAAGAGTTGTATGATACCAGCTTGACCGGTGCCTCTGCTCGCTTCTTGTCCAGTGCCATATTCTCGACTTCGGAGGGGTTCGGTAAGTAATCGCAAACAGCGTCGAGCATTGGTTGGACAGATTTGTCTGCAAGCGCGGAACCCATCATAACCGGGGTGAACTTGAGGGAGATGGTAGCTCGTCGAATCGCAGCCTTGATCTGGTGAATCGTCGGTTCCTGCTCGTCCAGGAAAAGCTCTGCAATCTCATCGTCGACATCCGCAAGTGTTTCAATGAGCTTCTGCCTCTTCTCCTTGCAGAGCTCAACAATATCCGCAGGTATCTCGTCAGTCTCCCTGATTGTCTCGCCCTTGGGCCCTTCGTTGTATATGGCCTTCATCCTGACCAGGTCCACAACACCCAAAAAGCCATCCTCGCGGCCGATGGGTACTTGGAGAGCCGCAGCCGGTATACGAAGCTTCTGGTTGATCTGTTCGACAGCCTTCCACGGGTTGGCTCCCATACGATCCATCTTGTTCACGAAAGAAATCCTTGGAATGTTGTACCGCCTCATCTGCCTGTCGACTGTGATGGTCTGACTTTGCACTCCGCTGACAGCACACAGGATCATGACGGCTCCATCAAGGACTCGCAGTGCTCTCTCTACCTCGATTGTAAAGTCGATGTGGCCGGGTGTGTCAATCAGGTTGATGTGGTATTTTTGGTCCTTTCCTTCATCGTCCTTCTTGATCCAGTCACAGAACGTCGCAGCAGACTGAATAGTGATGCCCTTTTCACGCTCGAGATCCATAGAGTCCATCTTGGCACCCACAGCATCTTTGCCTCGTACCTCGTGTATGGCGTTGATCCGGCCGGTGTAGAAGAGGACGCGTTCGGTGGCGGTGGTCTTGCCGGAGTCGATGTGTGCTGCGATGCCGATGTTTCGCACTCGCGATAGTCGCTCCCATTCGACAGGGTCTAGGTTCTCGACGATTTTCTCTTGCGTCAAGGTAGAGGGGTCTTCCTTTGCTTGCTCCAGCCTATGACCTCCAATCAGCCTTCAATTGCTCTCTCGCCGTTGCACAACAAATATAGCAGTACATACACCTGCGCAGCTGCAGACTGCCATCTCCGTTGTGGCTTCGTGGTGTGGCTCCCTATCCATGTGTCTGTCTTGGTGCCGTTAGTATAGGGCGTGCGCGTTGCCGCAATGGTCGAGAGAGCGCATCGTGAAGGCGTCGCAACCGAGCGTGCTGAAGAGCGAAGAGTGCTCGTGGCAAGTGATTGCGCCCGGAAAAGAGACTGGACCCTCATCTTGAGCACCCCTTGGACGGTTCAAGAAGAAAAAGAACAAAGGAACGACGCGGGGTCTGTTGTCGCTTCGCAATGTCGAATTGCCCGCCAGGAAAAAGTTGGGCTATCGGAGTTTCGGAGGTGCCAGTCACGTGTCGACGTGTGGCCGCCCATCCTACCATAGACATTGCACGAGTGGACAAGTAGACAGAAAGCCATCTTGGAGTGAAGAATGGGATTGTAATCTAATAGTGATGTCTGCCAGATTCTGCGAAGCCTATCGCTAAAAAACAACTATGCACGCAATAGTCCTATCCAAACCCACCTCCGCTCCATATCCTTAGGTATCCGCCCGAATATCAGTTACGCCAAACAATCGCTCCAGAAAATGCTGTTGAGAAGTGAAAGAGGATAGGAGCCAGACAGCTCCGCGTACACAATATCGCCCATGACTGTGTAAGATGACATCGTACAACGACCTAAGACGGGTCCTAGTGTTGCAGCGACACGACTTGAGAATTGTATACACCTTAGTCAGAGGTACAAAGCCTTCGTCTACCGGACCGTCTCCTCTGGGAAGTTCGGTGTCTGGAGTTCTGCAACTGACGAATCCACTTCTTGAACTGGAGTGGCCGGTTTCTCCGATTCGTGTGATGGCCCATTGGCGATAGGCTCCTCGGTTGTCCGATCGTCATGTTCAGATTCCTTTGCAGCCTCATCTCCATCCTTGCGCCCCTCGGCATTTCCGTTCGTAACCACGGCCTTGGCCTTGGACACGACCTCTTCCGCCTTCTTCTTCCCTTTTTGTAGAGTGCCGATTTTGGAAGCGGCAGGAGCCTTACGCGGTGGTGATGACGGCTTTTCATGGGGCTTGTCGTGTGTCTTGCTGGAGCTGGCGGCCGTGGGTCGCATCATGCGCTCGAGGAAGCCTCCTTTGGGAGCAGCACTTGCGGTCGAGGTGCGCGATTCAGGTCGTTTGGGCGCAGGGGGTGCGATGGAAGGGCGCGAAGTCTTTGGTGCCGGGGCCTTGGGTGTAGGACGGGTGTTGGTGGAGGGCTTGCGTGTGACCTTGGGCTCCTCGCCATGTTTGGCAGCCGAGGCAGCTGTCGGCGCAGTCAGACGGGTTGGTAAACCGACTGGACGAGTAGGGGACTTTGGGGTTGGCTTCTTAAAGCCTGTTGGGGATGTGCTGCAGCGTTGTTAGCATTGGCGCATTCTCCCACGTCGTTCTGTCATACCTTTGGCGGGGGGCGGAAGTGGTGGGCTTGGGAATGGCAGGCTTCTTGTTCTCCACAGGTGCAGCCGCAGGCTTGGTCTTGGAGGCAGCGGCAGCGGTGGGTGCCGTGCCTGAAGACGAAGATGCTGCAGGTCGCAGAGAGGTGCGGCTGGTCTTAGCAGCTGGAACCTTTGTTGTGGTGGCCTTTGCAACGGGGGCCTTGGCAGTCTCCTTGGGGGCTGCTGGCTTTGTGGTCTTCGCAGCTGGACTAGGCTTGATAGTGGGTGCGGCCGTCTTGGGTTTGGTAGGGGTTTTGGGTGCTGCTTTTGGTAGCGGGCTTTTGGCAGGGGCGGCGGGAGCCTTGGCAGGTTTGGCAGTCGAGATGGCAGCGGGCTTCCTGATCTCGGGCTTCTTGAGCCCAGGAGTTCCATTGGCCTTGGCCTTGGTTACAACAGGTGTGGCTGTTTCTGGAGCAGGTTCGGTGCTCGGGGCCATTACTGCTTCAGCCGGCGCAGAAGCGGTCGCATCGGGAACAGCGGCTTCGTCGGTAGGCGCAGCAGGTCGTAGAGCAAGCTCCTCTTGAGCACCCGTCACTGCCGTGTCTGGGTTCTCGGCGGATTGAGCAGCGGCTGGAGCCGGGGCAGAGGGCGTCTCGGTGGCAGCAGCTTCAGCTTGCACAGCTTCGGCTTCCTCTGCAATGGCAGCTTCCTCGGCGACAGCGGCCTCCTCTGCGATGACGTTCTCTTCAGCAACAACGGCGTCGTCATCAAGGGCAGCGTCCGCCAGAGCAGGCTTGTCCTCGTCCACAACAGCCTCCTCGGTGGGCGCGGCAGGTCTCAGGGTCACATCCTCCTGCGCGCCTGTAGTAGCTTTGTCTGGGTTCTCAGCAGGCTGGGCTGGCGCTGCTTCTGGCACGGGGACTGGAGTCTCGTCGACTGGAACTTGTTCCAGCTCGGGGGCAGGCACAGCGAC